AATCCATTGCCTTTGGCTTAGTTAAAATACTGAAATATTATCTATGTAACTATCTGCACAGTGCTCAAGCACAAAACCCCTCAGCTAAAGTACGTTAACACGCATTCATATTTTTCTGAACCGCATAAACCCCTTTATATCTCTCTCTCTCTCTCTAATTCTCTCTCTCCACTGATATGGTGTATAGGAGAGGTAGTTATCATCCAAATATTTCCGCTGCGGTTTCTTTCAAGCTGTGCTATAGAACACATCAAAAAGGCTTTGCAACTCTTCCAATACTAAGTAGGACAGGATACTATCAAATTTAGCAGACACTCACAAATTTCGTAAAGGCTGTTAAAGCTATTTCGTATAATTGGCTGGTTTGCCAAAATTATTTAGATTATTTTTATTAATCAAGAAAAGTGAATATAATACACAACTGATTGCAAGAACAACATTTTTGAGTGTCTGCAGATAAGAACTGCCAGGAGTGATGGCTTATCTGTGCATATAGCCTATATCAAAATAAAAGATATGGAGTGAACGTTCCATATGTCCTTACATAAATATTTGACCTGCTACCTTAGTTTATGGTATCATATTTATATTGTAGCATTATCAAATACGCAAACTCTAGATTTTTCTAAAACATCTTTCCTGATGTGCAACTCAAAGAGTGAGACTTTATTTTAAAAGGGTCTAATGAAATCTTTAATCTGGTGCTTCCAACTACATTCCAGTTTCTTCTTGCCTCTTGACAAATTTTTAATTGCATTTGGCATAAATTATTTGTAACATTACCCCTATTCTTAAATAGATAAAATAATAACATTTATCAACAAAACATTTGCTTAGCCATCACAAATTATAACTGAGAGATCACACTGAAAGCATAAACTGTGAATGATTTTTTACAGTTTGACAGTAACACTTAAGTTTCATTTTCAAAAGTCTTCTCTATAGTCTTGAGACAGGCTCCTACTTTTATTTCACTAGCTCAATAATATCTGGCTCCTTGTACTGCCCTGCTCCTCATAATCCAGTTGAAGAATTTGGGCCAATTAACCCTTTAAAATCCATGTAGAAGCTTACAATTGCTGTTAAATATCAGCACACTGCAATAAAGCTTGATTGTTCTTGCCTGTAGGAAAAAAAAGGAATGCTAAAACCATTCACCTAAGACCCTGACATCTGTCTTGACCCCATCAAAGAATCTTAAGAACTTTTCTCCTCATTCTTGATGACCTTATCTGCATGATGTTGGAGGTCTGACCCTCTACAAGCTCCAACTACATGCAAAAAGTTTGAGTTGAAGTGATGTCTACATTAAGAGGGTTGTTTAAATAAAACTCTCCAGAAAACATTCACTTAGCTGACTTTTACTTCCCAAACATCTATTAAACAGTGATTAAAATGCAATGCTTTGAAATTTCTTTGTATGGGTGCATGATGTACAATTTTTTAAGTCTGAACTGATTTTTGGTGCGAGATCTACTCTGATATTAGAAAATAAGGCATGCAAAATCACTCTCTTAGGTCATGCAAAGGCCCACTCTCTTAAGTCCCCACCAACACCATTGGTGTGTGTCCCACAAGGATCACTGATTGGCCCCTTACCGTTCTCCATCCACACCAAAATACTAAATTGTATCATCTAAATTCACAGTTTCTCATATACTCTCAGGGCTCCAGACTGCGACCATTTTTTCTGCCGGTGCGACTAAATTTTGTGAGCACTCGCACTGGTGATCACCGCATTGCCCAACTCATCAAACCTGCCAATTCTGTTGCATATGAGAAACATCTAACGAAACAAAAGTGTAACGAAACCGCGCTATTCGTTTGAGCTGAGCAGCGCGGACCACCTCGGACCAATAATTGAGCGCAGCGCAGTGCAAACAAACTGCAAGCAAAAGCTCAGAACAGGATTACTTGGGAGCCAGTTTTGATCTCGTGACACTGTTACTGCACCGCGCTGCAAGATCCAGAGAGAAGCGTTTGAATTCTGCACAAAATTCTCTGTTATAAACAGATCAAACAGTGCTGACGTAGAAAACCAGAAGTAGTAACGATAACTATAACTATGGTTTTGTGGCAGAAATGGTTGAATGTTATTACATTATTCATTTTAGGGTTTGTACAACTTTTGAGAGAGAAATTCGAGCACTTTTCAGTGACTTTCAAGTATTTCACACAACTATTTCAAGCACTTTAAAGCTCTAAAAATTATCCAGTTTAAATGTTATTTTTAATGGGATGACCAAAATATACTTTGTGGTAAACAAACGCTAATTAAAATTAAAAAACACATCAAAGTATCACTATAACCAGTAGATGGCAGCAAAGGAGCCCTTATTGGCTTATTAGTCATTAATTTCTACTTTTTGCTTTATATTTTGAAATTATAAAATCACTATTATACAATATCAAATAATAAAAAAAAGAAAAGTCACAAAGTGCCTTGAAAAACAAACTTTTTTTCCATTTGTGACTGAATCACACATCAAGAGCGTTCCTTTTATAATCACTGAAGTTATCAGTCAGTTCCGTATAATACCATAGAAGAATAATGGTACATTTAATAAGAGTAGAATATGTTCTTTTTCTATATAAAACTTAGTGTTGTTAATAAAAGTAAATTTTGTATGCTTCCCAACTCAAGCTCAGTGCTTTACTATCAAATGTGCATTACCAAGAAATAAGCGTGTAATATTATTAGTAACTGCACCTATTAATGTAAAACAATAATAATTTTATGATTAAATTATCTTTCTTTTTAATACCCCTAAATACTGAATAATGACAACAATCAACTGTGTCATTCCCACCAGATGTTTCTGCATTCACAGTGATTACACTTGGTATTAACTGGCACTTTAAATGCAGCTCCTGCTACACATGTGACTTGATTCTGTCTCTGATTTTATGACTACATATTAGGGGTGTGCAAAATTGCAGAATTCAGAATTAAGAATTGGCTCCTTTTCAGTTCATGAGTGTGAGTTCAAACTGGCGACCACACAGGAAGTTGAACTGGATTTAGTGGAAGTAGAATTTACTGAATTACAATTCAAATTATTTTTACAAGTACTGGCATTCTGGGAAGTGTTCTTTTGGTCAAAAAAACAAAAGTTTCTTTTCAACACAAATGAACTCCTCAACATAGTCAAGACCTCCCAATAACAAATTGTATTCCTATAAATAAAATGTATAGCCTAATTCTCATTCAAAACGTACTAATTGACTTCTAGCTGACCCATTCACCATTGTGGACCACACTGAAGCAACTCTCGTCTTGCTTCATGCTACACAAGGAACATGAGGAAAATCCAGCCCTCCATGAATTACTACTCTGCTAAGCTGTTTGTTATTGCAGGCTCTAATTATTTCATGGCTAGTCTATACTGCCACTACTCACCATCCCACCTGCATTAGCCTCACATCTGCTTGAGCCCATTCAAAATGCTCCCACTCGATAAGTGTTTAACCTCTATATATTCTCATGTCATGCTCTCTACAATTGCTCCCATTAACTGCTAGAATTAAATGCAAGACCCTGTTTCTATTTCCCACACCCAGGGCCACTCCTTAACTTCTACAGACATCTAGAACAGTAAAATCACAACTTACTTTCAAATAAAGCCAACAAGAGAGACAGCTTTTCATAATTCACCTATATAAGGATTCACACTCACCTCATATGAATCAATTAAACATTAAATTAAAATTAATGACTCTACTAATCTTTAAATATTTGTCTGAAGCTACTTAAAAAAAAAAAAGATTTCAAAAGGTATACTGCTATAATTGCTTCAACATCAGCCAAAGATGATAAATGGATCATAATTGATGTATACTAAAAGTGCAGGCAAATTCTTGTTAAAGGGGTCATATGACGCTGCTAAAAAGAGCATTATTTTGTGTATTTGGTGTAATGAAATGTGTTTATGCGGTTTAAGGTAGTGTTGTAAATACAACTTAACCACTGATTTCTAGTCGTGTCCATTTTTGGAAGGCCAAACAAAGTAGTTTCGCATTCACAACGAAACAGCGTCACACACAGCAGCCTTGAGTGAGCCGCGGCCTAGAGTGAGCGGAGGCCGGAGGCCTAGAGTGGATTCGACGAAGGAGCATCCGGCGGGCTTGCATCAACCACATGTGACGACCCCGGGCTGGACTCCGCTTCGTCCACGGTGAAAGCCAAGTAGTTTCCCTTTCACAACGAAACACACAGCGCCTTCACGACATGGTGACGGCGGCAACAACAATACTACAGCGATAATAAAAGTTACGCGTTCTTTCTTTGCGTGAACATTTGGGCGGCGTTATGCAAATCTTCCCAGATAGTGACGTAGACATGTGGGGGCGTGTTAGAACGAGCCGTTTTAGGTAGGAGTGGCTGACTCTTAACTTTTATAAAGAATATCTCTTTGGATTTGAGACTTTAGTCTTTGCAACTTTACAGATCTTCTTTATGAACCAAGAGCTTGTAACACTCCAAAGAGAAAGGAACAATTGAAATCGCATCATATGACCCCTTTAAAAAATAAAACAGATGAAGAATAAAAATTTGAATGACGTACTTATAGAAAACCAAGTGTCAATATTGTAACAATAAGGTAAATGGGTGTGGCTGAGAAACAGGGTAGGAGGAGGAGTGTTTTGTCAGTTGGGTGATGAGAGGACTGAGACACTTCACAAATCAAACAAGAGAATACGACGAAAAACGAATGAATGTTTAAGGTAACTAACCATTGTAAGCTCTTGACATCTGACAAGTTTAACAAGGCACACAAAATTTACACAAAGCTTCACAGGTTGTAATTTGTCAAGTGTTTTTTACAAGAAGTTCAAATACAAGTGTGTTTGCAAAAGTTAACCCAAACATGATGAGCCCGATGTATATTACAAAGAAGAGTTAGAGTTTCAGTTAAATAACAAATGATCAAACCCATACTGGCGACATAAACCACAAGGGGAAATACTGATATGTGTTTTAATACTGATAGCAGACTTACCCCTTGTGCAGACACTGCATACAAGACAACAGGTAACACAAAACTCCTGTGAAGGGAAATTAACAAAACCATCAAATGTGCTCGAGAGAAATAAAGCGCTTTATTTAACTCGGTGACTACAACTGACAGTTCACTATTTAACATCCAAGCGTCTGGATTTGTAACCACGCGTAATAAAATGACATCTCTAGATATAAATATACTTACCAAAGCTTCATTTTGCAAAGCTTTGAGAAAAACGCAGGTAATGTTTCCTCGGCGTCTTCACAGAAAGCCTCTGTTAATGGCTTCAAACCTATTCATTTGAGAATCCGGTGAGCGGTTCGTCCACTTCGAAGGGCAAGGAGAGATAAGGATAAATATAAACAATTAAACGAGAGATGAAAATATAATTTTGCACATGCAATAAGTATTTTATGAAGTTTTGTTTCAGTGTGTCCTCTGAGAATAAGAGAAGTTCACTCACAAGAAAGTTCTGTGTTGGAAACGCTCTCCTCGCGGCAGAATCGCTTCACGCACCGCGGCAAGTGCTGCGCTCTGAGAAGAGGGCGGGATTTTCACCCGTCGATCACTCGCGCCTCACGCTTTTGCCTCCAAACAAACAGCGATAACAACCACGGACCATAACAAACAGCGATAACAACCAGTAAACAGTGTGCCACTCATGTAAACTGAAATAATGTAAATCTCACACACGACTGGACATAATAAAACATAATGAAAATTACATGAACACATAAATTGATCAGAAAGGAATTCAAGTAACTCCACACAGATGA